TTAGAGTATACATATTACACTCATGCCTATAGTTGAGTGAATTTCTTCTTTTCTCTTGACTATAGGCATGAGTGTGTGAGTGTGAACTACATGAGAAAATGTCTAAATTTAAATTTAAATTTCAAAGTAAGTACCGTTGATAGCTAATGATTAGAGTGTTCTATATCAACTCTGTAAATTAATTCAAATTCTTAACGACAAAAGATGCAGCCATTACCAACGGCTTAACGTGTCTTCCGAATCATGGAGTAGCTCGAGATAATTTTTGGTCACCCATAACGTGACCGACCTAGCGAAAGTTGCTTAACAACAACAATCGTGGGTGGCGCCACTTATCCGCTACTGTTATGACATTTTTTAGTAAATACTTCTCTCGACTATAAATACGAAGGTTTACTTTGATATAATGTTACTTAAACAAAAAGTAAAGTATCTAATTTTATATTATTTGTGAATGAAGAAGTGAGGTAAATAAGACTTTAATACTTCAGTAATTATATTTCCTTTATAGAAAGAATGACTCGGTAAACGAAAAATAAATTTTGTTTAGTCGGTCAGGAAAAATATTAGATACGCATTTTCTTATGTTTGAATTTAATAAAAACGGTTTGGATAAAGTTGAGGAGTGGGGGCTCACTACGTCACAACTATGTAGAAAACGTACAAAGGTGTGACGTCATGCGTGATTTCAACTCAATGTATCGCCGTAATCTATTGAATATGACTAACGCATGAACGGTAAAAACATTGTATATATAAAAAACATGTTATTTTGTTGTTCTGTTTATTTCAAAACGCCGCTTTCTTATCGACGTTTTATGCTCAGCCTTAAGAGAGGGTGTAAAGTCGAAAGACTATCTCTTTCTATCTCGTAGCACTCACATAGATAAATAAGGACAGAGGATGGTGCATTGCGCGTCAAAAACGGTTTTTTATTAATCACTGACATATTATTAGGATTATTACAAAAACGCTGCATAATTCCCTTGACTACAAAATGACTCAAATGTTTTTCTATTCATTGCTATAAAAAAGGGTTTAATTACTACAAGAAATGAATAAATATGAATTGTAGGAGTAACTGCTTTTTTCCATCTCATTTTCCAAAAATTTTAGATTTTTTCCGTGGAAAATGCCATAATATTTTAAGTGAAATACGCTTCTAAACTTGAATTATATGTGGCAACTTCATATTAACGTATGTGGAACCTCTTGAATGTGGAATCTTGAATAAACCCACATTTTTTTAATATTTAAAATTTTTTTTTCGCAACGGATGTTATTTATTTATGAAAATATATATTTGTGTTTCCAAAAAGTTGTGAGACATTGGAAACGCGTCTTAGCGAGTATTGTGTACAATTGTGACTGCGTCGGCTTTCTCGGAATGCTATATAAATTATTTAGTATCGACCACGCTAGGGATGTGCTAAGCTTTCTAATGGTAGTTCGATTTATCGGTAAAATTGTAAATGTAAACGCTCAATATAATTGTGCATATTAGTAACTTACCTAAGGAGAGTTATTTTAAATTTTAACATAATAAACACAAATCCTAGTTAGATCATGAGTATTTTTTATCAAATTTTAATCAGTAGAATCTAGCTGTCTGATGATTTTGAATTAATCGAAAAAACTTTATACGTTTAATCCAATCGAAATCTAAAATAGAGCATAATTAATAATACCCAAAACTCTGTCATAAATGATCATGATAATTAATACGTGCCCATAAAGGTTCCACATACGTTAATATGAAGTTGCCACATATAATTCAAATTTAGAAGCGTATTTCACTTAAAATTTTTAACTTAAATTAGTAATCACGCTTTTACGTGTCATTATTCAAATCAGACAAGTTTCAGATATCAAACAAACATCTGTACTGGTTTTATTCAGATTTCATTATCGTTCAGGGAGTCATAGAGTCGATGTCGATATATCGAACTATCGACATTTACCGTCACTACGACCCATGAAATCGTTTCGCTCCAGAGCTCGGCGTCGCTCATTTTATTAACGCAAGCAAAATTATTTATTATTTAACGATTCAGAATGATTTTAAGTTTTTTCAAGAGTGCCGTGCATGATGATTGTTTTTTATTTATTTGACACTAGACGTTTTTCCGCGACTTTGCCCTCGTAAATCATAGCCTACGTCGCCCGTTTCATGTATAATGTAGCTTCCTGTCGGTGAAAGGATTATTGAAATTGGTCCAGTAGCTTCGGAGCATATTCAATGCAAAAAAAACAAATATTTTCGCTTTATAATATATATATATATATATTTATATTTTTTTTATATTTTACTTTTATCTATCTATATCTTTACACCGAATTCTTTGCGGGTAGGCAGGAAGGTAACACTCACATTTGCTTAAAGTTCATTACTTTTAGGGTTCCATGCCTTAAAACGATATGAGCGGATCCCTCATAGGATCATTTGTCGTCCGACTGTCCGTCTGTTTATTATGTGTGCAGACATCGAGTGAAGATGTGAAAAAATAAAACTTACGAATAAGTGTTTTTCAATCCGTGGAATATGATCCCTAGGTGGCTGGTGGCTTTATTTGGGGGCTCGTAGGCAAAATAAAACGTCAATGTTTACATGCTTTACTACAGGAAAACATAATTTTTGTGAGAAGTGTGTAGTTATTTATATTTTAATAAAATATAAAATTGTAGTGCTATTTTTGAAATTTTAAATATATAAATAATATTTGCCTTAATAATGAAAATCATAAATGTAGTATTTTAATTATATTACAAGTTTTTTTTTGTCTCAGTGCAAAAACGTCGCCGTAAATTTTCAGTCTCAAAAGAGGTCCGTGTATTCAATATGTTTGAAATACATAGTTCTAAATTAATAAAAAAAAAATACGGGCATTTATATCGCAAAAAAAAACATTTTAACACACAAGGGAATCAAAATTGATTTATTAAGGTCCTTCCTTTTCTCTATAAAGTAATGGCATAGATTTAATATCAAAAAAAGGTGGTAAGAATTCGTCTAAAAATGTACTCACAACAAAATTATACTTTTATATTGTTTTTTTTATGTATTATCTAATTGTTTTATCAAATTTCCAATTAATTTAACTACCATAATCTTTTAATAGTGATGATATAGACAATGCTGGGAGGGCGCTGTTAGCCGAAGTACAGTAATAAACTAGCTCGGCTACAGACGCTAATCTATTTATAAAATTCGTTAGCCATTGAATTATAATTATAATTTTTATAATGTTTAATATGGGATAGTGGTCATCCTGAAATTACCGAATTTTTCACAAATGGATACATTGTGGTTTAAAATTGGTATAATTTTGCAACTGAATATATTGGAACTATTAAATTGTTATTGTACTAGTTTGCTGTTAATACCCAGTTAGAAACTAGACTAGTCCAACTTGCGGGCCTATTCGATAAGTCAACTGACAGCTTAAAGAGGTCAATTCTAATGTTTTAAAAATTACTCATTTGTATTGCCCACAGAGTTACAGAACAATTTATTTCGATCATTCTCAGAGTTACAGAATAAGGATACAGGGGCCTATTTTTAAAACCTATCACAATCACTTCCAATTTAACAATACGCGAAATATCGTCACATTGTCTCATTCTAAACAAAAAAGGTAAGATAATTATTATTAATATTGTAAAAAGACTTAAAATACTCTAAAATTGTTTTGTGGAAATTTCTGATCAAGGATCGTTTTATTTATCAAACATGGTAGTATGCGTAATGTTATTTTTCTATTTTCGTAAAAAGGTATAAAAAACCTTTTGTAGCATTTTTGTGGTGTCAGTCTTAGTAAAGATTAATTGAAAAAGTTTGTTAGCTAGTTGTTGAGGTTTGGAGATTCGGTAAGTAAATTTGTTGATGGATCCCCAATGTCATATACTTTGTAAAAAAAAAAAATAATAGTAATATTGCATGTGGTATTTACCTGTAATTGTTTGATACATTTCTTCTTGTGAGCTAAATCTAGTTATTATGGTATGTAATAATAATGTATTAAATGTTGGTAAATCAAAATAAATAAAAAAAAAATTGAAAGATATTCACGAACTTCACGCTCCAACTATTTGATATGTGCGATCGCGACGCTTTTTTATAAATTGTTAAATGGACGGTTGCGTTAATTTAACGTTAATTAGAATGGTCTTATTCATCATTAGTTCCAAAAGCGATTGCAACTTTAATCGTTACATAAGGAATGATGACTGGGTAAAAACAAGAAATTATATTGAGTCCATCAGTCAGGTAATAGAAAAATATTAGATATGTATTTATTTACTTCATTTTAACAAGAAATGTCTTACACATTAAATTTGAGGAGTGGGGGCTCGCTACACATTAACTGTGCTACTAATAAACAAGGTTTAGCGTCAGAGTAAATTTACGCTAATGCATATTTACTTTTAGTCCAAATTCATATTATATAAAGCAAACTACCTTCTTCTAATAAGCATAATACCTTCTGGAGTAAATATTACTCCCGTAGAATCTCGTACTAGGTTAGCCTTTGCTAAGTCTCTGTTTAATTATGTGAATTTTGACTAATACTAAGTGCAGTCTCAGTGTAATTTACTCCAACGCTAAACCTTGTATATTTATAACACTGTAAGTAAATTAAATAATTAACCAGAGCTTTATCTTATCTTAAAACCACATAAAAAAGAACTAAGTAGAAAATGTACAAAGGTGTGACGTCATGCGACATTTTAACTCACTTTATCGGCGTAATATATTGAGGATGCAAAAAAAAAATGTGTTTAATATTATTTAATAATTTACCCGACGGTGCGACAAACAAAATTAGTTACCTACCCTATAACATAAATCACTATTACAGTTGATATACCTTTGAAAGGGTTTGCTATAGATTACCAAATTAGAGAATTAGGAAACGGGAATCAAATGTCTCAACAGTGAAAGAAACCTGTGCGTCTGAAAATCACTCTACGCTTAAAATATCGTTAAGTTCTGAACTCACCTCGCATCTAAGAATATGAGTCTCATGTCCAGCGATGCTCGGAACATGAACATGTTGGAGTGCAGTTTCAGTTCGGTGACGGCAGATGGCGGTAATGAATGACCCACGGCGACTAGTCCTAACGGAGCTGATCCTTCGCCGAACCTTCGGGCACGAAGGTACCCGGAACAATGTATCACCTGGTGGGAATAGTAAATAAATTTATCATAATCGACCCTTTTACGTCCCCACTGGAGGGGCTCAGGCTTTCTTTATGGATTATTAAGGAGGATGGGTCATGAAACTCCACGCTGGCTCAATGCGGATTGGAGGTTATTAACAACTGTAAATGCATCCGAAACCGACGGCTTTAGGTAGCACGTACCTTCCGAAGCACGGAGTAGCTCGAGATAATAATTTTTGGTCACCCATTCCGTGACCGACCTTTGAGAAAATTGCTTAACAACAACGATCGCGGGCCGCAGTTTTTGTACACTACGCCACCGAGCTACTAATAAATAAATGAGACATATTAGATATACCAGACAGGAGCTTAAAGGCGCACTGGTTAGCTATAGGTCTGCGATGTGTTGTTAAGCAACGGTTATAGGATAGGTTACCAGAAACTGATTATCTCGACCTTTTCCATGCTTCGGGGAGCATTTTAAGCCGGTGGTAATTCTCTCTATTTATAACCCGCACAGGGAAGGCCTCTGCCTTAACAGTGAGCATAATTATTAAGCTGATAATGATGAATATAGAGTCCTAGAGTTAAGAAGTCTACCATACCTCGGCTGTAGCAGGCCATTATTCTGCAAATTGTTACGTAATAACGCATTTCAATAGAACTTCTACTACCTGAATTTTGCCGCTGTACTATCTACTACATTACAAATCTTCAAATTTTATGTTTTTAAAGTTGAAATACGATTAAGCATTAAAAGAATTGTTTATATAGTCGCGGGTCTGAGAGTCCCACGTTGGGCGCCAGATACGGTGACGACAGAAACTGTTACATTAGTACAAAAGTTATGTAGGAATTTGGGGTCTGAAAAATATATGTGATGTTGTTTAATATTTTTTTAATGAATTTCAATTTTCCTGTGATTTAACAGCTGATTTACACGTATTAAGTAGATAAGTAGTTAACTAAATTGTTAACGCAATTTTAAGTGATTATTGTGTGTTGTTATTTCAGTTTAATGAAAACGTGTGAACCAGCTATATGTGGGGCGAATCCACACGACTAGAATTATTTGATACCTATTATGAAAACAAAATTACAGACAGTTGTAATATAAGTAGGTCGTAATAGTAAGTAAGGAAATAAAAATAAAGGGTGAGGTAATATGCAGAGATCATCATTTACAGCCTAATAATATGCTCATAGGCTGCTACACCGACTTTCCCAATGGATGGAAACGAATTGAATGGGGGAAACGGCCATCACGCGAGCCAGTGTGGATTGAGGGTTGTAAAACTGAACATGTAACCGAAAACAACTAATTAAAGTTTCTGACGGAGCACGAAACAGTTATTTTATGAAGAGAGATAATCATTTTTGGATGGGTGACATCCTATGTTAGGCCTTTGCGAAAATTGTTTAACTTCCACATCGGAGTTTCGACGATTAATGCACTATCGAGCTCGTCGATGATAGATATAAGTTACGAAAATACCTTGTAACCAGATGTGGTAAGTCCAGCGTTCCTCTTTGCTAGCACACATTTCATTCTGATGAAGAAGGCGCGTTCACATTCGACATCCACTGATGGTCCCCATGTCCCGCCAACAGGATATCTGTGGCGTAAAGATGTCTTAATAAGTTTCGCAATATTATTTCGGAGTAATTTTATTTTACGGACACGGGTATTAAACTGTAAACTAATTCTGATTAACTTTGGAGACGATGGCGTGATTTATCTCCGTGTTTAATCGGCATTCGGAGGTTTTATCATGTAACCTAACCTAAAATTTTACGATATTCATAAGTTAGCATAAAGGTCAACGTAAAAAACTCTCTCTGTTCGGCGACCTGACTATATTGAGCAACCCAATATAGTCAGGTCGCTTAAATGCTTAAACGTAGCTGAAATGCGTACAGTAAAACCATGGCAAAACATAATTACGAAGAGCAGAAAGTACAGACCAAGCAGAATGATTCAAGTAGCTTGATACGAACACGTAATGAACAAATGTGGCGTAACCACAGAAGGGGCTCCCGGTCAGAGAAGACTCTTTACTCCTGACTTTTACTATTACACAATTAGTAAAAAAAATATCCGATGAATTTGCCACGGGCCACAAAAGGTATAATTACGCCACTGGTAATTAATGTACTTTACGCTTTATGGTTATCAAAACGAGATTGGCTATAAGTATTAAAGTAACGGTCATCACGAGCCACCATATTAGTTGAGTTTTGAAGGCATTACGAAAAAACACTCACCCAAGGGATGAGTACTGGTGTCCTAGATATGAGTGTGGATGTTGCAAGCTGAGTACCGCGTTCATTTCCTCGTGGTCAGATTGGTGAATGTATTCGTAAATAGAGTTGCCAGTTAATTCCACCTGAGTAAGAGAATATTTGATAACCATCTTCTGACAAACAAAGGCATTTATAAATAATACTAGATGACACTTAAAATGGTTCAAAGTTATCACGCTGGGATAATACCAGGTTATGCTCTGTACTGGGATATGTTCGGGAATGATATACTTCAAATTATTGTAACACGGAATAGATAAATCAGAATTAAAGATGGACAAATAAAAAAAATTGTAAGACAAGAACTGGTCAAACTTAGTTTGGATTTTGGAAAACTAATAACGTCCGTTTTGAATAACTCTCAAACTATATATTTGATCAATTTTGCATTTATCTACAAAATTCTGACCCAGACGTCCAAGATCGCTCCGATACATCCAGGACTGGTGACTTTATTAAGCATTTTTCTTTAAGTGGAAGACGTTGTAATCTTACCTGACTAAGTCCCAAGTGTACTGAGGCTGTTTCGCTGATGTACATGATTTTGCCGTCTGGTGCTACTACGAAGATGAATCCTTCGAGGGTCTGTAATAGATGGGATCCTAGTTCTCTAATGGCCAGCTCCCGGGGCTGCGGCGGAGGAGGGGCAGCACCCCAAGCGTCGCCTAGTCCTGTTCGGAAAATGTTCAATTGAAACGCTTTTGTCTCTTCTCTCTGCATTTTCTACCTCAATACGCCAATACGGCGGTGAGGGGTCATTTTCAAATGTGGTGCGTTAGATATTAGTAGCCTTCAGATAGTCCCCATATGTCGTATATTCACAAACTTTTAGAGCAATAAAAATAATGATAAACATGTTTCGTTAATTCAAGAAATTCTTCAGAGTAAGACACGTAACTCGACCAGCATTAAAACATGAGCTAGATGTAGGTTTAATTATGATCAGTTGCACAAACGTCCATTAGGATTAAATAACGTGTTTAAGCTCTAATGAATGTCAAATTTGTATGGGTAATGTTGCTTTAAACTAATGATAATTCTAATGTACGTTTGTGCTACTGGCTCAAATATATTAAATTATTGATCCTACAGTCTACACATACAGCGATATTAGTTATCACAAACAAGGAGGTAGGTAGGTTATACTCCATTCATTATAGCATTAGACAGAATGAAAATAAGGTTTTTTTTTATGGTATACTTTGTGACAAAATGTCAACAATCATGTTACTCTTGAGACTAACGGCTAATTTGCTACATATCCACTTAAATACCAGCTGCTATACTTAACCGTAGTCTTTTAAGCTATATATTAAACAAATTTATGAGTATTTGACTGACTTAAAACATTTAATAATTATTACAATAAAAAGTGTTCATCTTAAAGAACCTAAAGAAGCAGGGTTAGATAGTTCCGGCATGATTCTCATGTCACTATAACTCTACCAAATTTAAAACGTTACCTAATCCCTTCAAACGTTTCGGCAGTACAGCTTTTTAATTTTGTCAGATTATGATTTATTCATAATAGTCAAAATATGTAATCTGGGATTGTCATTCATTGTGAATGCTACTTTCTTGCTGTTTTGTCATTTTCGGTGATTGAGTAATTACTGTTTTATTGTTGTTTTCTTATAGTTTTGTTTTAGTTGTTATCTTTATGTTGTTAAGTTTTGCTGAATTGCGATTCTGGTGCAGGCCCGAGTGACCTACAAATATTACACTCTAAGCCCCCATGCCTACCCTCAACCATTGACATTTTAGGAAGTTTTTCCAATGTCTTCATCAAGAGTCTAACTAATTACACTTACAATTAGAATTTATCATAACAACAGATAGATAGTTTCAGTTTTAGTTCCATTTTGGGTTGGAAGTAAAAGATGAATTTATAAAATGCTGGCCTCATCTGAACCCCGAGGTATCGTAAATAATGGAAAATTGCCCAGTTCTTTCAGACTACTTATGTTCAAAGTTTAAAAAAAAACGAATATATATATTTTTTAAATATTTTGAAAATAAAATGTTCTGAACTGCTGCTTCTATAACCCTCTTTTTTCTAATGTTATAATAAATGGAGTATAGGTATGTTGGAAGTTTTGATTTAGGTATGGGTGCGAAAGAAGTCAATAGTAGGTACTCTGTGCTTTTATATAGTCACAAAGGTCGTTTTTTGATAGCCTTGTTGGTGTTATCTCTATAATGTGTAATCTTGGATCATTAGTGTTTATATCTGTGTGTATATAGTATAACTATTGCGGAGGAATCAGTGTAGCTGTTAGCTCGATACATAGATGTAAGTTCAAGTCTAAAATGTGTACAATTTCAAATTATTACAAGGAAGTAGAAAAAAGGTTAAATATTAGAGTTGAAAATTATAGAATGAACATAGGTTCAAAAAGTCAAAATTTTTTACTTAAGTACATTTCAAGAAAACAAAGTTATATGTAGACTTTGTAACGGCGTTTAGGCTGTTGCTTATTTTAAGCCTGTTCTTGTCCATAGTTAAAACAAGTCTTGAGTAATTATAAGGAAAAGAAGATTGACTTCTCTTTTAACCTTTTAGCATCACCAATATGAAATATTGATTTTAACTCAGCAAAGATAGAAAAAAAAACGTATTTCTGATTTCACATCTCATTTTTCTTTAATTTTGGTCTGCATCACCTATGCTGATAAGTACAAAAAGAGTTCACGTTTTTGAGAATTTTTCTCTGTGCGAAAGAAAGGGACAGAATTAAGAAATAATACGGTGAAGTGCGAGTCAGTATAGCCAAAGAACTTTACATTTGCCACGATACTACATATTACCTAATTGATATTAAAACTCGATCCTCACCATCCGGAAACACTTGCCGCATCTTCAAGTAGCTAGTGGTCAGTCTGATGACGGACGCTTTGTCCAATTGGGAAGTTATGGCTGAGGGAAGAGGTAGCAGTTTCGCTAATTCTAGGAATTCCGCGTTCTCTTTCTCTCGCCGGGAGCGCGCGGCATTCTTACTCTTCTCTTTCATGATGGCCGCCGCTTCGAGAGGGCGCGCCTCGTTGCGGCAAGCTGTGTACAAAAAAATGTATCTGTGAAAATCATAACAATCTTTCATTCATTGCTTTCAATTATCAATTAAATTATTTCAAGTGAATTTTATTGATTTATTAGCATAATTATTGTTATTTGATAATTGTTTTATTCTTCAGAACTCAAATCCTAAAGTTATATACTATCTTATATTACCACTGACTGACCTACGACACCGAAAAATTAAGAGTCAAAATTATGCATTCCATACTTAAAATCCGCTAACGAACTTTAATGCATATTTATGACAGAGCGCCTCTACAGAATAAGTACCATAGAACCTTCGCATAATGTTTTATATTTAAGAAAGGGCTGCACCTAACTGTTCATTGTCATATTTTGAAATAAAAATAGATGAGAAATTTTACGGCAACACTAACTATGAATATCGACGTCCAATCTTAGACGAAAGATTTCCGAAATTCTATTATTCTTTCACTGGCGAAAAAATAAAATAAAGTTAAATTAAAATAAAGATTCATCGTACACAGGTATGCAAACAAATTTCTTGATTTTCTTTAGTGCAACAGCTATTTTTAGCCGTAAAAATAGTAGTACAATTTAGCGTATTTTAATGTCATTTAGGATATCCTTATTTCATACACAAAACAAAACTTAAAATGAAATGACATTCAACCAATTACAGCAAGACATGTGTGTTTATAATATGTTTTAGTTTTCTGAAAAGAAAGGCAATTTCTTTCAGAGAGTTTTATACAAACAAACACAGAGCTTCTTACAATTATAGTTAAATATTTTTAACACTTTCATGCATACCGTTTAATTTTTTAAGTATTATTTTACACAAACTTTAAAAAATATTTTATTTTTGGAACATCGTTACATCACTATTTTCCTTTACAGAATTTGCGAGTGGCAATTCTGCACGGGGTGGGCGGGAAAACAACAACAGATGAATAATTCAGCACTGGGATACTAACAAATGACCTTCTACTACGTTAGGGTGGGTAGCTCGTGGAAACAAATAGTTTTATTAAGAGCGTTAACATAACACACGCTTTTACGACTCCATCAATAGCGCCAGCCCTGGATCAAGGATTTTTCTGCGTATGATTCCTTATTTTATTTATTTTGTGATTTTAATAACATGTCTTATATAAATATACGCTAAAAGACATATTTGTGAAGCTTGTTCCGGTCCCAAATAGCGCAATCTTTATACCGCATGCTCTAATATTTTTTTTACTATGGCATATCTTCAATTGAACATATTCTTGTAACATGTAACCAACATTTAAAGTATCCGAAACTTTTGAAAATGTAATAAATTCTTTTTTGTGTAGGTAAGGTTATTCTCGACTTACAAATAATTCAAAAGCTTTTTCCGGACCTCCTATAAACAAATTCTAACGAGCTCCAACTTGCTTCATAATTACAGAGCTACCTTCCGGCTCTACCATCAGATTAGTTCAATTCCATATTAATATTACATTCTCATCGAACTTATCTCTTACTGTTTTCCGCGCATTTGTCTGAGTTAATTATAGCATCGGAGTGTATTTTTTTAAATTCGATCTGGCGACACAGCTGCTCTTTTGCCCAATTTTAGTTTTGAACAACTTGTCTAGTATAATACGCCGATATATTTCTATTAACAAAATTCTTTGGTTATAAGTAATTCGACGAATATCGGCGTATGTAAATGAAACCTGTATGGGGTGTACGCCCTTGCGTTATTGCTAGAGTGGCCAATGACAAGTGCGAGTGAACGAGACGACAAAGGTAGCACATATTTTTACAGCTCCATAAGGTATTAATTCTTAAGTACGAATTTTTTTAAAAGAGTTTTGTTTTATTTTTATTTTGTTGTTTGAAGCAAAGATCTTTTGACTATACAGGTTTGTCTTTAGTATATATATATTTTTTGTTATTGAAAGAGGGTTCTTTATTGAAAGAGAAAATCATTGGAGTAATAAAAAGCAAATAAATAAAAAACAGTCCAGAACGAGTAGGCTTCGCGCGGAGAATGTTAAAATTATTATATATTAAAAATTTAAAATTTTGAAAACCATAGCCTTCTATTAGCTTTTCTTCTTAAATACAAGTAAGGAAGTATTTTTGTATTTTTTACATTTTGAGCGCTGTAGTTATCTTTAATAACATCAAAAATATTTCTATTGAAATTATAAAAAATATGATATTTTCACAATAGGCCCTTTCATTTTACGTGTCACACAATAATTTTCAATTTCTTTTTAAATTTCTGATTTTTTCCATAAAAGAGGCTGTTTAAAATTCTTTTATTTACACTACCTTTGGATCATCAACTTGCATATTTGTGCCTTTCAAGTCAATTGGTCGTAGAAAATCAGCTTCACGACGCACAGACCTTTTGACCGGTGGCTTCATTTTCACAAATTAATCACGGATTCACTAACGTGGTAGAGCCGCTGGTTTTCCTATTAGTGAAAATAGGCATATAAAGATACAAACACACTTCATGCATTCATACCGATTTAATTTAAAAACACATAAATAAACTTACAAAATTCCATTTCAAAATCGCTTGAGTACTTGTTGAATAAATTTGTGCACGGATATTTCATTATTATCAATTTTAAATATAGAAGAAAAAAAGAAAAGAGGTTATTACACTTATGAGAACGGACGATAAACAAAAATTCAAAATTCGCGCGTTTCCTCACTACGTAATCGGAACTGAAAAAAGAAAAAAATATATTGCACCTTGCGCTAACAAGTTCAAATGCGTACTGGCAGCATCCACCTTCATCCCTAATGTCCGTTTCCGAAAAAAAACAACATCGGCGACAGGTATCCAAATACAATACATTTATGTGACTACGTTTATTTGTCAACGGAAAAATTGGGAACTAAAGTATTGCTCATAGTAATTCAACTTTTTACGTTGACAGTAGCGACCCCATCGGATGTAATTTTTGTTGTTGTACAACAGAGAGCCCGTATATTGTAACAGATTGACACACCAATTGATTTGTTGGTATTGTGTTATGATAATGTTGTGTTGTAACGGTTGTCTGTTTATCGCATTATATCAATGGATAAATATTTGCACAACTTACACAAAAGGAAATTATCTTGTGATGACATAATAAACGTACAAGTTTTATTATTCAATCAAAAAAAAAAATTGTGTATTTAATATCTGAGTAGACATTCATATATTCCATATTATAATATTATAAAGCTGAAAAGTTTGTTTGTTTGGTTGAATGCGCTGAATGCTAATTTCAAGCAGAATTGGTACTAGTCGAAAAATAATTTTATGTTGAATAGTCCATTTATCGAGGAAGGCTATATACTAAATGACATCCCACTTCAACGAATAGTAGTGGAGAGTAAGAATGTTACAGAAACGGGGAAAGCTAGTTTTACTATTTTTCAATTATTGGGATCATAAAAACCTTATCCTATCCTATTATAATATTATAAATATGAAAGTTTCTTTGTTTGGAAGTTTGTCCGTCAATCGAGCCGAAACAACTCAACGGATTTCGATGAAATTTGGTATACAGATAGGGTATTAGCTGACTAGATAATAGGATACTTTTTGTCCTACTAAATATTTCCCTAGGGACCACGCGGGGGAAGTATATTTAAAAAAAATCAGCAAAGTCGGTCACGACAAGACGTACTATGTTTTTCATTTAGTGATTTATTTTTATGTATATTTATAAGTGAATCCTAATCCTAATCCATCGTATATAAATTAATATAGTAGTAATTTAGGTCACAATATTGTTTTATATAAAATATTGAAGTATGTAATTTTTAAATCTCCACAACATGCCGAATAATGGAGACGCAGTTTCAAAAAGTTCATTATTGATTAAGTCGACATATCGTCGATACTTATATTAATAAAAATAAAAACTTTTTATAAAAAGTAGATCAGATTCCAAAGTCAAAAAAGTTATAAATGATATCTTAAAAAAGATTTATTCAAGAAATAGTATTGAAGTCGGACGGAGGTTTCCTGTAGGTTATTAATTAAATAATATAAAATTTAATTAAAAAGAGGTAGTTTCTACATTTGTTTGTTTATTAGTATCCGATCCGATCCGATCAGATGAAAATCCATCTGGAAGCTAGGTACATCATTCGCGGTTGTTATAGGCAATAATTTACGCGGGAGAAGTCACAGAAAATAGCTAGTGTTTAAAAATTTAAGAACCTTATATTAACAAAGATTGCTAAATGTTTAGAGCTATATTGATGTGCATTCATTTTACAGAAAACACTTCAGTAGTAACTAGTGCGCGAGTAACAGGGCATAGGACATTAAGCCACCACCCCTAGATCCGGCACTAACAGCCTGACAGGACATAATGCTAAGCAATATGTTTTCATCGGTTCTAGGATTCAATCCCGTTTCGAGCTCTTGAAACTATCAAACTTTTAAGTACTTTTTATAATTTCAGCCCTAGCTTTGTATTAAGTTATTTATGAAATTACGTTTTGTAGTATATTAAAGTTCACCACCATTAAACACATTCATTGTCAATAAAACTATTCATATGCATTCAACTATTAAACTTATGCCCCTATTGAGACTAATCCTAATTATTATGCGCGCTCACACATCTTTCATTTATGTTACCGGAACGACAAAAGACCGACATGTATGATAATAATCAATAAAATCGTGACATGTCATCGGAGGTTTATTTCAATTCTATCGCCGCCATCTTAAGTAGGCGCAAATAAGGCGCGAAAAAATCGCAACTTACAAAAGGTTTTCTGTAAAAAGATTCGATACAATCATATTGTTTTGTTGCAAAAATTAAAGGTAAAGAATGAAAATGTAATAGAGTCAGTGAGATAAATAGACATTATGGCGAGTCCTGTCCTGTAAGGAAATTCTGCTAATGTTAACGCTATTATAGAAAGTCAATGGTGTATCAATTACGACCCTTTACGACACAGTTCTTGTTACTTGACCACAAAATAATGAATACATCTATCAAAGTCAAAGTCAAAATAATCTTTATTCATATAGACTTCTTAAAAGTACTTTTGAATAGTCCGACATTTTTTTTCCCTACCATTCGTTCAGGACGTCTTTTGGCTGTATTAATATTGATTGCATTGAAGACATTGCATTAATTATACTGGACTTCTGCAGGGCGAGTCTGTAAAAATCTGACCCTGAATTCGAATTCACTCATATGTCCAAATTCACGTCATGTAGTGTAGAAATTCTATTGGTTCCATTTTTGTATAAAAATACAAAGTAAGATTGATTCATTCATACGTGTCTCAGATATTCTATTCCTATGTCATTTCGAAACTCACTTCACTTATGCCACGGAACGTTATTACCAATTCAAGAATTTGCTGCTTTTTGAAGTGGTTTTTTTCAGGTGAATTTCGATACCTGAGTGGATTCGAATGAGGAAGTATTTAAAAAAAAATAGTTCTCGAAATCAAACTAGATGTCGCGACGGTACATTTCTAATTTCTCTATGACAAATTTCCGGTTTTCTGTCATGTATAAAAGTAAATTAATTGTCGAAACTCAATAAACACATATTGTACTTTTTTGTGTTTGTTTTGATATCTAACTTTCGTTTTTTAAATTGAAATTTAAAAATTTCTTGTCATATGTTAGATAAAAGAAACGGAAATGACTATCTTTGGTTCGTTTCCAGCGAAAATCAACTTTTGCTAGAGTCGCCATGTAGAGAGGTGCTTTTTTAGTGCTTTTTTTTTAATATTTCCTCATTCGAGTTTGAATTTTTACAGTATCGTAGTGCTGGTCGAAATACAATGGTAAAATGCAAATATGTAGTTGATATTTTATTCAGATGCGATTATTACAAATAAATAAGCACAATTAAGGCCCTATATCACAAATATAAATCTAGCTATTTTCCTGCGACTTCGGCCACTTTAGTTATAGCCTATGTCAGTCAATAAAATATAGTTTCCCATAGGTGAATGAATTTTTTAAACAGGTCCAGTATTTTTGGAGCATATTCAATGCAAATAAATACACAAACCAGTGTAAAGAAATATTACACAGCAAAATCAAAAGATATTTATTCAAATAATATTATTTAAAGTCTTTTTGCATCGTTTAACGATCCAACGATCCAAAATGAGTAACTGAAGCACTCGTATCGATGGTACCACAACACTCAAACTCGAGCAATATAGAAAAGTTTACTTTCTACATTGACCCGGCTGGGAATCGAACCCGGAAGGTTAGAGAAGGCGACACCTTGAACCAGCGAACCACTCAGATACAGAGCAATAATATGTATATTTTATTTATTTCAATATTATCTTATCAATATTTTTATTAGAGAAAATATAAGTAAACGCGTTTTTTATTTAACTTAAACATAAGAAACATTACGGTGCATGCAATGTTATCTATAGGTACTAAATAAGGTTACTAATAAGAAACTTACAACCATTATTTAGTTACATACAGATAGCTCTATTTACGTCATTCTAATGCGTCTTTCAGTTCGAAGAAAAAAAACAATAAATATATAATTACAGTATAGAGACAGCAATAGCTTTCTTATTTATAACTAGGTGCTTTCTAGCAACTTTGCCCGCGTTAATTATAACCTACGTCAATAACGTATTATTTTCTAAAACGGTCCAAGTAGTTTCGGAGCTTATTCGATGCAAAACAAACAAACAAATAATCAAAACTTTCCTATAATATGAGTTAAGAAGAGCAACGGTTTGTTTGTATGCAAAGGCTCCGGAAGTATTGGACTGCTTTTAAAAAATCTTTTACCTACGAAAAACTACAGCATACGCAAGTGATATAACCAACATATATTTATTATTATGTAAAACAGCTAGTATTAATATAAATTGAAGTATCCGAAGTTTGTGGCACCATCACTGCTATCAGTTAGAAAAAAAAAACTATTTAAATATTTAAAAATAGAATATTACTCTGTAAATCCCTGAAGGTCACTGAATCACAAATCCCTAGACCCAACTCTCTATCGAAAAGATATGAGTATGAAACACGACACCACTATTAAAACTATACCGGGTGTGTATCGCACTGGCACGTAGGGTTGTCAATCGTTGTTTGTATTAAGAATTGCATTTGCTAGATTGCACTGGTGTATTATAATAGGGGTTCCTAAACTATAAAGAAAACGGAACGCCCTCTACTTTTATTTAATAATCTATCTTTTATTCAATGGAATCATCAAACGATCACAAATCAAAGATAGTTATTTATAGTGAAAAAAACTTTTATTACAAATCAATAAAAAATCTGAGAAGCTCGATGGCGCAGTGAGTGATGGCACAGAGGTCTGACATTAGTAAATTAGAATTAGAAGAAACACTTCGGTTAGATTGAAAATAATATCGTTAATTAACAAATTAAAAAAAAAATTGTTTCCCTGATTTAACATTTAGGGTATCCCTATTCACACGTGTTTGATGCCGGGATCCGGGCGCGCGCGGTGGTCCCAAGTGTTTGTTCTATTATATTGTTTAAGCCACGACAGACTGAAAGAGGGAATGTAATGCT